CACTCCCATTTACACAAATGCCCTTTCTTTCTTTCTTTCTTTCTTTCTTTCTTCCTTTCTTTCTTCCTTTCTTTCTTCCTTTCATTCTTCCTTTCATTCTTTCATCCTCTCTCTCTCTCTCTCTCTCTCTCTCTCTCTCTCTCTCTGTTTCTTTCTTTCTTTTTTTCTGAGACAGAGTTTCTCTGTGTAGCCCTGTCTGTTCTGAAACTCACTATGTAGACCAGATCAGGCTGGCCTCAAACTCACAGAGATCTGCCTACCTCTGCCTCCCAAGTGCTGGGATTAAAGGTGTGTGCCACCACCGACCAGCCTCGAATGTCTTCCCTTTTAATAAATGGCCTTTATTTCCATTCTCATTTTCTCTACAGCTGACTTTTACATCAGTGTATCCAATTTAAGTATGAATCATAATTATCTAGAGATCATTTTTGTTCAAGCCATTACAACTCATTGAAAGTGCTGGATGCAGTGACACATTCCTTTATTCCTAGCGCTTAGGAGGCAGAGGCAGGCAGATCTCTGAGTTCAAGGCCAGCTTCATCTACACAGCAAGTTCCAGGACAACCAGAGCTACATAGAAAGACCCTGTCTCAGAAAACAACAACAACAAAATAAACAAATCCCCAATACTTTGAAAGTTTGTTAATTTTACTGATGGAGTGCTCTTGTACACTGTAAAGATTTATCACTCATATTAGTTTAATAAAACACTGGTTGGCCAGTAGCCAGGCAGGAAGTGTAGTCAGGTAACTAGACTAAGAATTTTAGAAAGAGGAAAGGCAGAGAGTCAGTCACAAGCCAGACACAGAGGAAGCAAGATGAGAATGCTGCACTGAGAAAAGATACCAAGCCACACAGTCAAACATAGGCAAGAATTATGGGTTAATTTAAGTTGTAAGACCTAGTTAATAATAAGCCTGAGCTAATAGGCCAAACAGTTTATAATTAATATTAGCCTTTTTTTTGGGGGGGGGGACTGATGGCTACAGGACCGGGCAGGACAGAAACTTCCCTCTCCAATGGAGTTAAAAGATAATGTCCATTTGAAATAGTTTTGGTAGAAATGAAAAATTCTGGAGTTCAATATGATGAGAAATAAAACCAACTAATGGGAAAGTATTAGTTTTGCTGTCATGAACATATTTAGTATAAAGCCTTTTTCTTTTATTTGAACATGTTTCATAGTCTTTGATCCCACAGTCAGTGCTGAGAATCAGACACAATTTATCATGAGTGGTGGCTGGGTGTTCTTTTACTGAACTAACAACCCCCAGCCCTAACACACTGTAACTTTAAATATTTGTCAGTAGTCGTGTTGGAAACAAATCCTGGTGACACACGCCTGTGCTCCAGTCCCATGGGAGTAGGAGGGAAGAAGATCGGGGTTCAAGGGTAGCCTGGGTGACAGAAAATCCTGTCTCAATTCCCTCCCCCTGCTCCCCCCTCTGCTGCAAATAAACAAAACAAAATAGGGTTGTGGGGCTGTGTGTCCATAATCTGCACTGTGGGGCAGGTCATGGGGGTTTGCCCAGTAAACCAGTCTCGCTGAGTTGGCAGGATTGACGTTCAGTGAGAGACCCTGTCTCAAAAATTTAAAATGGAGAACAACAGAGGAAGATAATCCATCATGACCTGTGGCCTTTACACATGCATGTGAGAGTACACAATTCTGCATTCATATGTGCACACAACCATATGACATTTACACATAAAAATAAACACCAATCTTTTGGTGCAGGATTTTTAATTCAGTAACTACTGTGTCAGAGAAAAAAATGACGAAGACTAGCAATCTTGCTAAAACAACCTTCCTTTGGCATTGAGGATTTTAAGTAAATAGTTCACCCTCAATTAAATTGTTACAATGGCTAAAGATTGTAGTCAAAAGACAGCAGCTTTTGATTATTCTTTGTCAGAATAATTTAGGTTGACTCCATGTATGATACAAAAGTGGAGCTTTATTGTCCCAGGTGGGTCTTTAACTTTTTTCTGACCTAAGTGCTGCCAAACCCTAGGATGCTAAAATGGTGCCATGCAGAAAATTACATCTGTAGTGCTTTGTAGAGATGCTAGGAAACTCGACCTCACATGCGGCGTTTGACTCCGACACGGGCCTCCTTCCCACTGGTGATAGTGCTGGGGTGAAAAGGCTTGACATGCTTAGACCTCTTTCTGTTAGATTGCAGGTGTTCTGTGTCCCTTTACTTTGAAATTTTATGTGTGGGTTTTGGCAGTTCAGGCAGCTGGATTCCTTTTAACTTTATATGATGGAAAAAATAGAAATGTTTGTCCGACCAAGAAAAGAAGGTTATACAGTTATCCCTTAGTATCAAAGTGGAGTGGTTCTAGGGCCCTTGAGATATCCAAGAATAAAAAGTGTTTGAGGAGGGTGGAGAGGTGACTCAGCAGTTAAGAGTGTTTGCTCTTCTTCCAGAGGACCAGAGTTCAGCTCCTGTCACCCACATTGGCTGGTTCACAACAACCTGTATCCAGCCTGTGCCAGGGGATCTAATGCCCTTTTCTGGCCTCTGACAGCAACTGTGCACACTCACACACATGCATAAGTAAAAATGATAAAAGTAAATCATTAAAAATAGTTTGGGATTATGGTCTTACTTTCATGTATTCTTTATCATGACTAATATGAATTAATTTTAGATGCATTTGAATTAATTCCAATGCTTTTTGGCCTGTTGGATAAGATTAAATGAATTAACTTCAGATATTCTTTTGTCTGGTGTGTTCATTTGGAATCTCTAACTATTGCCTTGGCTCTCCTCCTCCTTCTCCTCCTCTTCCCCCTTCTTCTTTCTTCTTCTATGTATACATTGTTCTGCCAGAAGAGGACACCAGATCTCATTACAGATGGTTTGTGAGCCACCATGTAATTGCTGGGAATTGAACTCAGAAACTCTGGAAGAGCAGCCAGTGATCTTAACCTCTGAGCCATTTCTCCAGCCCCGGCAAATATCCTTCTTATGTTCCCCTATATTAACAACCCATTCTTTTGTTTTACAGTTTTTTTAATTCAGAGAGTTTAAGATTTATTTCGTTTTTAATCATGTGTGCGTGTGACTACAGGTGCTCTTAGAGGTCAGGTTTCAGATCTCCTACAGCTGTGGTTCTCAACCTGTGGGTTGTGACCCCTTTTCATGTGGGTCACCTAAGATCATCAGAAAACACAGATACTTACATTACAATTTGTCACAGTAGCTAAATTACAGTTATGAAGTAGCAACAAAATTAACTTTATTATGGTCGGGTTCACCACAACAGGAGGAGCTGTGTTAAAGGGTTGCAGCAGCAGGAAGGTTGAGCACCACTGTCCTAGAGCCAGAGTTATAAGTGGTTGTAAGCCCCTATGTGCATGCTGGGACTCATACTTGTATCATTTCCGCAAGAACAGTATAGGTTCATAAGTGCTGAGCCTTTTCTCTAGCCGTGTGTGTGTGGGGGGGGGGGGGACAAATCAACTTCCTACACTTACTGTCCTCTTAATTTCGTGTGTTTTATTCCTTATACTTGCTAGCTGGTTTCCACTTACCTTTGGAATAGAGTTGGAGTAGAAGTAGACGTTGAGGAGCTGAGGATGTAGCTCCACTTAGCACTTACAGAGCACTTACTTAGCCTGCCTTAGGCTGCAGACTCAGTCCTCAGCACCGAGGTCTGGGAGTGGAATTAGACTCCACTTACAGGCACATAATTAGACTCAAAATAACCAGTTTACCTAGGATAGGGTTTCTCTAGAGGTGGCTGTTTTGGCATCCTGCTTTACTTTCTCCGTAGTTACCATAGTTACCACCATAGTGCCTGCGTTACTAGCACCTGCACTCTGAATTCTAATATAACAGGGCCTTGCTTTGAGTTGTTCTTGTGTCTTCTTTCTTATTCCTGCTCATGTTGATGAAAGGCTGCTGTATTTAACATGAAATATTATAACTAAGTAGATTTAAGGAATTTGCATATTCATTGTACCTTAGAGAGAACTAATAGGATCCAAAAGATGTAAAGAGTTTAGATGACCTGGGGTGGAGGGAAGAAAGATAGCTTACCTGGTGAGTGTTGCCAATCTGTGTACATCTTGTTTTAGATTTACGTATGTCCATGAGTGTTTTGTTTGCATGTAGGTATGTGCACTGCAGGCATGTCTGGTACCTGCAGAAACCAGAAGAAGCCATCAGATACTTTGGAACTGGAGCTGCAGGTGGTTTTGAGCCATGAGGGTCCTGGGAATGGAACCCGGGTCCTCTGCAAGAGCAACAGGTGCTGGTAACCAGCAGGCCATCTTTCCAGTTGCATTTATGTAGACCTTTCAGAGAAACAGATTAAAAGTTACTGTCATCTAAGTTGGAGTCAGTAGCAAATACTTTAGATAAATTCGTAGAAGTGGAAAATGTAGCTATGTGCTCCTCTTCCCCATGGTGTAGTTTGAGAGCTCTCTGTCAGTGGAGTGAACCTGGGGCAGGATTTCCAGTCTGCACTCGTTGCGCCGTAGACAATACCTGAAGTCCACTAGGGAGTTTTCCTGTGTGACTTTCTAATCCAAGAGTTCTATGCCACTTCTTCCTGTGTGCTTCGGCCAGTTCTGGGATATGGGGAAATACTACGTTGTCTTTATTTCTTTATGGTCAGACACAAGAATGCTACCCCTGCCACCACCGCTGCCGACCTTGGTTTTTGGAGCGTTGTTGGGAGATGCGTTGGGGAATAAATGCATCTTGCAAATTATTAGCTGTGGTCTTACTGGAAGTCGAGACAAACTTGACCACTTCTCACTGGTCTCTCTGAGCTCTCATTTTCATTTGCAGTTTCTGTCACTAAAATCAGTCTAGCCGGGCCATGGTGGTGCAAGCCTTTAATCCCAGCACTCGAGAGGCAGAGGCAGGTGAGTTTGTGAGTTTGAGGCCAGCCTGGTCTACAGAGAAAGTTCCACGACAGACTCAAAAGCTACGTAGGGAAACCCTGTCTTGAAAAACAGCAACAACAAAAAGACAAAAAACTTACTCTAATGAACAATTTAATAATGTGAATGTAATTAATGTTGCTCTATATATGTATTTATAACATACATATCCTACTAGTATTTCTGTATATAAATATGCATACACACAAATGTGCTGGACATGAACCATTTGTTAGCTGTGCAGTACGGAACAGAGTGAGCACATTGTTGCAAAGTTACCATTTGTTAGCCATGCGGAACAGAGTGAGCGCATTGTTACAAAGTTAGTTAAGCGGGGAATCTTGAGTCAAGAATCGCTTGTCTGCCCAATGAGCAGTTTTAAAACGTCAGATGCAGGAACACTTGTGTGGCATGTTGAGGACCTGTGTTGAAAGAGAAGAGAGAATAAAATGCTACCCCATTGTTGCAGAGAGTAAATTTTGGGGGAATAAATTTGAGAATACTAAAACCATGTTGACAGTTTCCTTTGGAGTTCTATGTGGTGGGGCATACCTACCTTTACTCCCGGGACTTTGGAATTGGAAGCAGGAGAATCAGGAATATGCTAACCTGGGCTACATGAGTTCCTAGAGTGGAAAAAACAAGCAAAAAACCAAATCAGTTCACCAGTCACTGAATCAATTGATGTAGTTTTTGTTCACAGTTTTTATCGGAGAAGGTCTTTTTTTTTTAAATTTCTTTATGGTTTATTTAACTTTATTTTATGTGCATTGATGTGAAGGTGTCAGATCCCCTGGAACTGGATTTTCAGACAGTTGTGAGCTACCATGTGGGTGCTGGGAATTGAGCCTGGGTCCTCGGGAAGAGCAGTCAGTGCTCTTAACCGCTGAGCCATCTCTCCTGCCCCGGATAAGGTCTTTTTGCAACTTCATATGTATATGTTTGCTAATTAAACATGTAAACATCTTATATTTTTACAGTATGGCGCTCATATTTTAGTAAAAGTTGGAATTCGATTATCTCATAGAGGAAGATATTTAAACACACCTTAATTTTAAGTAGGACAAATTCTAATACCTTTCCTTGCACCTCTTTTGTGAATGATAGGCCAAATGTCATAGTGAATAGCAGAAGACTGTCTGGTTGCCATTTTAGATGCTTGTGTCGTCTAGCTGCCCTTCGGAGTGATTGTTCTGAGTGCCTACACTAATTCAGTCATGTTTTTAAAAGGGAGAAAAGTACACAATGGAATTGAGGGGGGCAGGGCAAGAGGAAGAGGGTTGTTGGGTTAATAGCTGCAACTTATCTTTTCACCCGTAAGTTATTGCTTCCTTTATTGGGCGAGAGAAGGAATAGGAAGAGCAGTATTGTATGTTCCTTATATGCCAAGCTGGTGGTTTATGTGAAAAGCTCATTTCCTCTAGGCAGCCTTGACAGTCTCTCAAGGCTGATCTCCCCCCCCCCCCCAAACAGCATCCTCGACAGAGCAAGGCTTGTTCATTATTTACAGTCGGACTGTGCTGTAGCGATGACACTTACAGGGTGTTAGATGGAAGACAAATTAGGCTTTATTGTAGATGGCGGCGTGAAGAAAAGCCCAGACAAAGGTGCAGAAATGAAGAGCGCTTAAAATAGGAGACAGCCTTGCAGTAGGACAGGGAACAGGCAGCAGCTATTCGCCTTGCAAACGTCGTGAAATGTTGGGCAGTCTCAGTGTACAGGCTTGCTGACAACGCTGAAACTCAAGACTTTACAGTTGCATCTTTGCTTATTTGTTTCCTGATTTCTGCCATAAAGGCTGTAGTTTCATCTGATGTGCTCATTTCTGGGCTGTGTCTGGGCGTGGACCTTCTCTGTGTTGGGACTTGTGCTGCTTCTGTCTGCCGATTGGTGCCTTTAAGTTTGAAAACTGCTCAGCCTTTGTCCTTTAGATTGTATCTGCGCTTTCCTTCTGGTGCTCCTGTTCCGGCCGTTAGAGCCGCTCTTCGGCTTCCTTCTCGCACACAACCTTTTCTTCTATTTGTTTATTCTTCTACCTACATCTGCCCTGCTGCCTAACTAGTGCATCAGATTATGAATACCAGTCTTTGTGGCAGTTCGTTTAGTTAATAATAGCAAGAATAGGAGTATAAATGTTTACAATACAAATGCCTATCCACAGAAAATTGAAAAATACACTTGCTATATAGTGGAGAGTGAAATGGAGATTAAAAATGTGCACAGGCAGCAATGATTTAAGTGAATCTCAGAAATAATGTTGAGCAAAAACTGTAGAAAGCGAAAAGCTGTGTTGCTTAGGACTGTGTGCACACTTGAGGTGAAGTTGTTAAGCAAGGGAATGATGAGTCCATTTAGAGACCTCTGACAGAGGACATGAACGCATGGAGAAGTTGGGGTATCCAAGAGAGTCTCAGGGTGGTGGGGGTGCACGTTGTACGTTGTGTTAATTAAATATTTGGTTCTCATTCTTTCTTTTTTTTATGTATATTTCCTAAATTCTTTTTGTACCTACTTGATATTAATGCAACTGTTTTAAAGAACTTAAATATGCTTAGAGCAAATGAATGCAAACATAGTTTAATTACCAGTGTGGAATCATCTTTGAAAAGAGGTTGATAGAGTTTAGTTGGCTTATTTAGATAGGTGTTGGACTCTTGATTTGTTTATAGCAGCTTTTTAAGAGCTCAAAGTATCATGATTTTATTTTAAAGTATTGATCTGATAGATTGCTTTTGCCCGATTGCTAGTAATAATTCCGTAAGATGATTATACTTCCAAGCAGTGTTAAATTTGAAGTGCAGTTCTCAGGCAAACCTCTTAGAGTCACATCCTTGTTGCTAGTCTCCGCGGTGGCAGTCCAGCCGTCCACTGTCAGCTCTGTCTGCAGTGGCTGGCCGGACCCGCGGTCGATGGCATTAGCTGTGTGATCGTGTCCAGCTCAAGTGGCTGCAGGTTAATCTTTGGAAAGAGGTCTTCCAGCAAAGCACCTTGTGTTCCTTTTGCAGAAATGTTGCTGAAAGGGCCAGAGGCGCAAGGATTTGGGACACACGTGCACCTTTAAGCTGCCTGACATTGACCTCCTTTCATTATTAATAAAGAAGAAGCAGGAGCTTAGGATGTATTAACCGACTCATTAATGTACTAACCGGACGGTCTGCAAACTCCTCTGCGCTCTAAAGACCTGAACTGGACAGGAGACAGTAATTTCACGTTTCTCATCTTATAATGTGACTCGATGGAGGGAAATTTGCTAAGCATGAGGGAAGACCATTCTTTTCATGTTCGCTACAGGTAAGACTGCTGCTCTCTGAGTGTGTGGCTCTTCTCTATGTAGACATGTATTTAGTTCTTGTCCATTTCAATTTTCAGTTTCAAAATTCTCAAAATATACCAACTAAATTTTGTGTATTCTGCATGCAGTTTTGTGGTGGCAGTAAGTTTCTGTATACCTTTGTGGGAAGATGGCGGTAGAGACCATATGTACTGAAATTTATTGATATTCTCTGTGAGAACTTGTAAATAGCTGCTTTATATTTTGTAACTTGTGCATTAGAAATAGGAAAATGGAATCTGTCTTAAGACTGTCGTGGGTAATGGTTGGACGAGCTGTCTTTTCTAGTTGGCCTTTCAGAGCAGACAGGCCAGAGTAGGTGCTTTCTTTTTTTTTTTTAAATATTTATTTTTATTTATTTATTATGTATACAATATTCTGTCTGTGTGTATGTCTGCAAGCCAGAAGAGGGCACCAGACCCCATTAGAGATGGTTGTGAGCCACCATGTGGTTGCTGGGAATTGAACTCAGGACCTTTGGAAGAGCAGGCAATGCTCTTAACCTCTGAGCTATCTCTCCAGCCCGAGTAGGTGCTTTCTAAATGTGACCAATCAACAGCCAGCTTAGTAGTTAATAATAAAATACTAATGGAACGTCTGATAGAATAGGAGCAAAGCAAGCATATTTCTGTTATTTGACATTTATTCTAGAAGTTCTGGTCCAACCATAAAACAATTACTCAGATGTAACAGTAGATTCTTTCTCAAAATGTGTGGATGAAAGATACCAGAAGTTCCTAGTGATGAGCAGAATTCCAATCATTGTCTGTTTCTCTCCTACTGGGGATTGAATCCGCGGCCTTGTGTATGGCAGGCAAGTGCTTTGCAGCTGAGCTAATGGTCTCAGCACTCAGACTCTCCCATGTGAGGTGTTTGTTACTAAGTCCTCCCTTTCTTAACCCGCGTTTAATAGGAGCTTTATACTGTGAAGTAGATGGCTCGTGTTAGGGTGTAGTGCCAAGGAAGGTTATATAAAGTTAGGGTCCCTTCTTTCCTCCCTCCTTCCCTCTTTCCCTCCTCTCTCTCTTTCTCTCTCTCCTGTGTGTGCATACATGTGTGTTGCATGACTGTGGAGGCCAGAGGACAGCTTCAGTGTCATTCTTCAGGTGCCATCTACCTTTTTTAAAGACAGGATCTTTGACTGGCCTGGAACTTTCCAGAAGGGGTTGGCTGATCAGCAGGCCTAGGGATCCGTCTAACTCTGCTTCCTAGCTCTGGGATTACAAGAATGTGGCACAACACCTGGCATTTAAATGTAGTTCTAGGCTATAACTCTTCGTGGTTTATTAATTTGAAAAATACATCTATTTGTTTGTTTGTTTATGTGCTCTCTCTCTGTGTGTGTGTGTGTGTGTGTGTGTGTGTGTGTGTGTGTGTGTCTTGGGGACAGGGGTGTGCTTGCCATAGTGTACATTTGGAAGTCAGAAGACAGTTTGTGTGAATTGGTTCTCTCCTTTCACAGGTGTGGATTCTGAGATGAAGCTCAGGTCGCTGGGCTTGGTGATAACCACCGTCACCCACTGGGCCACCTTACAGGCCTAGAACTCATGTTCTTATGCATACGCTTTTCTAACCAGACTGCCTCCCAGCCTACTAAGGACATTTTTATTATAAATTTAAAAAAAAAAAACCCTCAGGCTGCTGAGATCAGTCAGTAGAAGAGGCACTTGAAACATAAACTGGCAGCCTGAGTCGCCGTGGTGTGCAGTTTAATCCCGTGATGTGCAGTTTAATCCCGTGGTGTGCAGTTTAATCCCGTGGTGTGCAGTTTAATCCCGTGGTATGCAGTTTAATCCCGTGGTATACAGTTTAATCCC